AAGAAAACAACCATAAAAGAACTTAAGAAGTAAACACTAGGAGGCGGAAGAGGGAGAAAAGAAAACATGATACAAAAACCAAAATAGAAACATCTAAGCAAAAGGTAAACAAACACAAAGCCACAAACAGAGTCCAAAAATGTCACTCCGTGACAAAAAAGTTTAATGTTTTGTCTTTTAGGTGCCTCTTATCTAAGAAATGCCAAACAAATATTCAAAGCCCTTAACCTTTTTACATTTTGTCTCATGAGAACCATAAACTTCAATTTCTTTTATTAGGATTTTATTTTATAGACAAGCACAAGCTAGCAAATATGGTGAAGAGGAAGGAAAATGATAAATACTGCATGTTTCTCAGTGTTTTACAAAAAAATCTGGTATGTCAGTAGTGCATTTGTCTTCATCTTTCATTTCTCTAATACTCTTACATAAAATCCAGTGAAACCAAAGTTGTGCAGAAAGAAGGCTTAGGTTATAGGTTATAAAACAGCATCTCAACTTTTGTGAATCTCATGGAGTACTGTTCACTGGTCTTATGAAAATGGAAGGAGTATGGCTCAACTGCAAACCGCCTAAGACAAAAGTGTTTACCTACACTAAGAGGCCTGTCAAGCAGAGCATTAAGACAGAAGCTGCCAAGAGGCACATTGTAACTCTGGGGGAGCTGCAGAGATCCACAGCACAGAGAAGAGTTGACAGGACAACTAGTAGTCATGCACTCAACAAATTTGGCCTTTATTGAAGAGTGGCAAGAGGCAGTGGTGGCAATATCATGCTGTGGGGTTACTTTTCTTCAGCAGGGATAGGGAAGCTGATAAGAGTTAATGGGAACATGGATGGAGATAAGAAAAAAAGAAAAAAACAGGGTAATCACGGAAGAAAACCTGTTTGACGCTTCTAAAACAGCCCTAAACGTGCCGCCAGACCTACAAGGGGATAGTTTAAATCAAAACATATGCATACATTAAAATGACACAGTTGATATCCAGACCTAAATCCAATTAAGAATATATCACAAAACTTGGAAATTGGGCGTGGTGCTTATGGTGTAGGGGTTAAGCACGCGACCATATGCAGAGGCTGCAGTCCTCGAAGTGACTGTCCTGGGTTCAAGTCCCGGACCTGGTGACATTTATTGAATGTCTACACCTCTTTCCTGTCTGCCTACTGTCAAAAAATAAGTAAATAAAGGCCACTAGTGCCGAATATATATCTTTAAAAAAAAAAAAACAAAAAAAAACTTGGAAATTGCTCTTCATGGATGCAATTAGTTAGTTTCCAAAGAACAATTGGCAAAAATGTCAATGTCTAGATGTGTAAAGTTGGTAGAAACATTGCTCCAAAAATGTACAGATGTAACTACAACAAATGGCTCAGTGGACTTGAAAAAAAAATGCACATCACACTTTTCAAAGTTTTATTTGTTAAAAGTGTTAAGTATAATTTCCTTTCACTTCACATTAATACATTTTTGTGTTCATCTATCACATAAAATCCTCAGGAAACCCATTAAAGTTTTTGGTTGTAATATGACAAACTGTAAAATACAGTTTTCATGATATAGTTTCTTGCATGCAGCTCTCCCCTATCTTGAAACCTGAGATTTCTTTCACCGTTTTTCCACCTAGGGCAATGGCCATCACCAAGTGGAGTCTCACATCAGAAAGAAACTAGATTGTCTCCTCAAGGAGTCTCGAATTGTAGACAAGGAGGACACCGACAGCTTCAGCATCCGAGCTCTTCTTAGAGCAACACACCAGGGCCTTCAGAAGAACCTACGTCAGGTACGGCCCCCAAGGCAACAGAGGCGGCTTACAGAGCTGCACTCGAGGAAGAGAAATCCTTGTCAACATATCAAGAGAGAACGAAGCTAAAAGGAGGGGAATAAAACTAGGTCAGCGTGTTAGTCATGGAGGAGGGTTGGAGAGTAAAGTAACAGACTAGTTCCTGGCACACACGCTGGTCAAACAGATTGTAAAGCTGCCCTGCTGGGTTTCTCCATGTGATCCAAAGCATATCAAAATAAGCTTAAAGTAAAGACGGTCTAAATGTCTATAATGTTATTTAAAATTTTATTTTTCTGCTTGCGTCTTGTCTTATTTTTAGAAAACCAGTTTCCTGACAGCCATTTCAGTGCAGTGGGTGTAGTTCATCGGGGCTTCCCATCCTCTCTAATGTAGTCCTACATTGCCGGTGATCCCCTTCACCTCGTTCTGTCTCTGAGGCCTTTTCTCTCCAAGTGTTTCTAGCTGGTATATTTTGTAGCTCTCGTCCACTGTTCTTTTCAGCTGTCTGATGTTTTATTGAATGCTTTTTGTTGCTCCTCCTTCAGCTCCTTCAGCTTTAGGGTTTAAATGACTCACTGGGTGTTAATGTGTTTGGAACTTTACAACCATATGAAACCCAGATATGAATACAAGCAACAACGCGCAAGGAGGTAGATGAAAAGTCCCTAAATATTTTTATCTGTTTTTTTCTGTTTAGAGCTCCAAAGGGGTTCTGAAGAAATCCCAAAGCAGGTCCCTTATCACAACACTCAAACAGAAGGTAAGACGCAGAAAAAAAGTATTTCTGTTTTTTAAAGTTTTCCTTTGATGTGTTTGTGGAGAGACTAATTCAGTTTAGTTTAGCAGCATAGAGACAAGAATATTTCACTCCTGTTCACCACAAAACATTTACAATCTTTTCACTGCTCTTGGATTTTGATACAGCAAATTTGACATAAAACAAATAAAATAGAAGGGATATCTGTTGTAATTGCAATACCTAATAAAATTATTGTTAATAATGTTTAATCCTTATTTCCTCATGAGATATTTTTCCTAAATCATTAATATCTGTCTTTTTTTCCTTATGTGCTTCCAACCTTGTGTTCTACCTCTTTTCCTTCCTTCTTACTTTCTATCTATCCCTTCTTTCTTATTTACTTCACTTCTATCTTGGTCCTTCCTTCCTCCCAAGTGTCCTTATCTTTGTGTCATTCCTTCTTTTCTGCTTTGTGTCCTCCCCTTCTTTCTATCTTTCTGTCTTCATTTCTCTTTTTCTGTCCTTTCTTTCCTTCATCTACTATACTAAAATCCTTGTGTCTTTCTGTCTGTTTCTTTATTTCTTTCTTTATGGGGACTAAAGCAGGCACATTTCTCATTTAAGAAAGAATTTGAAAATGCTACTATAATTCAAATAACGATCTGGTGGAAAGATCCTAATTTTGTGCAGTTAATCATTGCTTGGATCTATAAAAACAAAACAAAAAAAAAAAAACGGGCAATCTATTTTGTGAAATAATGAGGATCTAAATGTGCTGTGTTCATTTAAAAAAGTTATGCATGTCTTTTTCACATCAGATCCCATCAGGAATGCTGTAAAATATATATTTTTTCTAGCTCATAGTTTTTATTATTAGTCAAGTACCATCCGCATGCAGAATTTTTCTATCTTCCTATCCCTCCTGTATTTACCCACTCAAATTTCCACTTCAGTCTTTTATGCCTCCCTCTTTGCATATCATCCACCCTCCTACGTCTGTGTCAGTGGTTGTGTGTATGTGTGTGTATACTGTATATAAATGTGCACGCCTGAGGTGCCTGCAGTGTGTTGGTTGGAAATCTGAACACTAGTTACTTAACATTTCTAATCTTCTCAGTCCCCATTTGGTCCAATACGGTGGTTCTCTTAAATAAAATCACTATTGCTATCAATATATGTACTATAACACACATCAAAACTGCTACTGCTAACATACACAGTAAGTTCTTTTTATTAAGATGGACATAATTTACTAAAGCTACTTGTGCAACAACCCTCTGGCCACTAAAGAACTGCCGTGCTGGGAGTGAGGAGGCGGCTTCATATATGATGGATCATATATTTAGCACATTTCCAGGTTGTCAGCTTAAGGCAAAGAACGCACAACAGAGAACGTATTTCTGCTTTCTAACTTGGTGTTTTGTTTTAATATTTTTCTGTGCATCCAGAGGCACTCCAAATCAAGGCTGGCATGTCAAAGCATGGAGAAAGAGGAAGATGTTCAGGAAAAATCTGGGAGAGAGGCTGGAGGACAGTTCAACAGGTTTGAACAGCTTCACCATCACGCTGACAGTCTTTAACAACTGAAAGGTTTGATGGGTGCTACGAGTTCTGAATAATCCAACTCAGCAGTGTTGTCAGGACACCACTAAATCCATTAAACCCCTCAGCAGCATACAGCTGTATGAGGGTTAGGATGATGGATTTGAATGCAAAGGTTAGACTTGTAAAGAGAAAGAAAAGGAAATTTAGTTCGGGACCTTGTCTATCAAATGAAATACTGATTTTCTAAAAAAAAAAAAAAAAAGGATCCTCGAGTTAATCAAGCTTCGACTATTAGTGAAATCATCAGAGCACCAGAAGCTGATTATTATTGTACATTGAATATCTTGTGTGTTAGATGTTTCTAATATTTCTCATATCTTTATACTAGGATTTGGGTTAAAAAAAAAAAACTTAAAAAGAAGGAATTAAGTCCTTTATTTAAATAATGAACAAACACCAAACAGTCATCAGAATACAGTGAACTCTGCTTCTCAGTGTCATAGTACTAGGAAGATTTTGACCTATTGGTACATGCAGAATCAGGGCAGGATTTAGAATAGCAGTTTAAAGATTAAAGACAAATATGTACAAAGAACGTCAGAGATAGGCTTCAGGTTCATCTGCATCGAGTTCAGGTGGCAGTAGGGGTGGGACCCCTTGGGTGATTTGGTGATTTGTATAGTCAGAAGGAGTATTGTCTAAGTTGGTCTTCAAGTTTCAGGTGGAAATTTTTGCAGAGTTTGAGAGTGGGCAGGCAGGTTGCGACTGGAGAAAACGGAGCTGCTTGTTTTGTCCAAAAAAGTCCTTGAAAGATCCTTGTTTTTTGCCAAATGGGTTTTTGTAGACAAGGCAGCAACCAGACTTCAACCTGCTAGGCACAGAAAACAATAGGTGAGCGTGCCAAAAACCAGTCAAAAAACATGAAGACTTGACAGAAACTGTAACAAACAGGTTTCACAAGAAACTAGAGGCTTGAGTCTACCACCAGGGTTGACCATCAGGTGAAGACTAGTTGACAAACAGCTCCTTAAATCTCCAGCAGCCAGTATGAGGAGACTGATGACAGGTGTGCTGTCTAGAGTTAGCCATCACGCCCACCAGCAGAGATTCTCAACTCTGGAGAGAACTCAGACTCCACACAAAACAAAATTATACAAACACACCAAGATCATGACACTCTTTATGATTTCTCCTATGATTTTTGCAGTTCTCTGTGCTTAGCATTTGCTTCAACCCTGTTACATATTAGCCACCTTTGCATGTAAGAAACTCCTACATTTTATAACTGTCAATCTTAATATAATTCTGGCCTATTTATATATTTTCAGGGAATGCTTTAAGGCCTCCTACATTTAGAAACAGGCCTTAAAAATCACCTGGATAAGTACAGTATAAAAAAAAATTAAGAAGAGAAACATATTTGGGTTTACAGACTTTATTCATTACTTCATTATCTAAAAAATAAAAAATGTGAATGTCTGAAAAATAAAGAGATTTTTATTATGATTTAGTCAATGTCCTTAATGTTTGTTTTCTGGGCGACTGTAGCTCAGAGGGTAGAATAGTCATTGGAAAGCTGTAGGTTTCGATTACAGCTTTCTTCTGTCACATGTTGATATGCTCTTGGGTAAGACACATAGGCCCAAGTTGCTTACTAATCTACATATCAGTATATGAATTTGTACATGTTTATGAACACCTTGAATGGTTAGTATATAAATTCAGTGCATGTACAATTTGTACGCATTATTTGCTTTGGTTTTTGTTTGACTGATAGAGAACCCAAGGTAGTGGGGCTTACAAAAGGCAATTTTGCACATTATTTTGGCCTTAGGCCATTTGTAGGTAGAGGTTTTAAGCTGAATCTTAATTCTTAAAGTGTGTTTTAGTTTTGGATACTAAGCAAAGCATTGACACCCATATTTTTCTTTTTTGGAAGGGGTATCTGTATTTCATGTAATTCAGCACAGATTTAAAAGTCTAAGCAACATAGATCATGAGCTGGTCTGTGTTTGTCCAAATGCCACACAAGTAGATGCCCCTTTACTGAGGCAAACTTC